GCACACATAACTGCTTCTAAGACTAGCTGAAACAGTAGTCCATAGCACGATTAATGGACGCGGTTGCCTTTGTCAATGATTGTAAACACATTGTAGGAACGCCCGTGGGTGAGGCAACTGTGTTTGTCTGTTCCAAGTACTCACCTGAATTATCAGAGTCAAATGCGTGCGTCGCCACCAATTATCAGCCTTGCATTTTTGCTAGCAGGACGATGTGGCATGTATAATTATGGTAGTCATTGTAGCCCCTTTAGGTGTTTCTTTGTTGAGTAATGCCGATTTCATGAGGATAGCATTCCAGTCCATTGACCTAATAGGGAGATTCCATCTGCATTGGCTGTGCTATTAATGGTGCCATTCGGAGAGTCACTTGCCAAAGCGTCTTAACACGTATGGGCGACCGTATGGAAGTAAAGCCTAATTTTCCTATGAATACATATGTTCCTATGACCTTTAAATAACGCCATACATGAAGACACTGAAGCGATAACTGATCAACAAAGTCGCCCATGGGTGTGGAGACAAACGAACACTCACTAACGTCGTGTCAACGCGACTCTTGAAATCCTCTTATTTTGTGTTTAGTCATCAAATGTGATAGAAGTAAGCAAACATAGAACTTTCGTTGTTCAGCTTCAGGTTGGTCTACGAACTTCAATGGGAACAATGTCTTCCACACTCGTCGCAACAACCATCGCACAAAATTGTCGAACCGCCTAGCAGCCATTGCTGGTTCAGGTTTAGGTGTGCAGTGCCCAGGCCACGGCGCATGCCTGACCAACCGCAAATGCAGGTTTACCTGACTCCCTCAAACCTCAGGGACTGCGGAAGACCAGTTAGAATATTGCCTGTCTACGCAACGATGCTTAGGCCGCTGAATAAGCCACCACCAGGTAGCGGCTTGCGATCTCTAAGTATAGAGCTTTTCATGTGGTGGTTAGTATGTCTGTCCGCACTGGTTATGGCATAAGTTTCGGATCATGTGGTAGCTTGGATCTCCTCCTTAGACATGTATCACAATTTGCCTATTGGACGTTTGCAGTTAGGAGAACAATCATCGAGTTTGACTTCAGATGGGCATCAAGGCAGCACACGAAGTGGTGTTCGACCACTTTCATTAGATTGTCTGTTGCTTTTGCTCATTGCTTCTAACCGGTGTCCAATTGGCTACGTCCTATGGCTAATGAGAGTGTAAACGACGCCAAAACAGCGTTCTTAGCCTCGCTAACTTGAAAGCATTACGGGCGATTTCGAAAATGTCACACTAAAAGCTTGGTACAATGTGCTAAATTGCCTGTTAAGTGGTATCGCCTTATGCTTAAATCCAAGGGATTCCATTGGCTAATGTCCCATGACCAATGAGGGTGTCGCTGATAGTGCGCGAAGTTGAATGAACAACACGTTTTTGATTGCTAGCAAGCTAACTTATTAACACTATGCGTGAAAGTGCCGGTAAAATGTATAGGTATTAGTAGTTCCATGCACGATGAAGCTTAACGTGATGTAAACCGCGTCGGTTGGCTGACGTCTTGCGCTGTCCTAGTCCACCACATGGTTCTTTGCTTTATATTCGTTCATCTTTTTAATCTGGGTTCGTTGAACACGTCTGGGTATTACTTAATAACCGAGTGCACCATGTACTCCCTCACGGCATGGACAGTTTAAAATACTCGTGGTATCATGTTCATCCATTTACGACTTGGTATGTTTACTAATGCATGAGGCACAATATTGCCTACTGGATCGTGCGGTCGACCCTGGTGCCTAATTCGTAACTGGCAATTTCCAATTAGGTGAATTACTTCTCCTGTATAGGTTTAGAAAGCGGTACTACTCGGCTCCAGCTTAGGCAATGATGAGAACGTGTTTTTGCTTATAGGTATCACAGCGTAACCTGGTCCGACTCAAAGAAAACCGGTTCGTTATTAACATGTTACCTGACACCATATGGAGATACTCTCGTCATATTGAAGCAATTTGCAGTTATATGGTTCATAAGATTTAACTGCGAACTAAGGCACTAACCGTTGTCCTGCTTCAACGGTTTACTCGAAGCTTGTGACCTTGGAGAATGGAATATATGTACCAAAAGACCAATTTTTCCGCAATCCTAGAATATTTTTTGCGAATGTGAGGGCACTTGGTGAGGAAAGTGTGCTGGTCACCGCATTGGTACCAGCCAAACTTCTGTAAGCTATTTTAGGGAAAAACATTGAGCCAGGTTGTTTACACACTGTATGCGAAGTCCGAATGAAAGTGCATAACGGCGTTTTCCGATTTTCCCTTTGACGTATGAGGTTGAAAGCGGTTTCCCATGAAAGGGTTTCTTTCTCTTGCGAAATTAACAGTTCACTCGCGTCATCAGCTATAACCACCGATATGGTACTGAATTTCGCTAACTTCTTTAGCACGTGTTTAGCGAATTTTACTATACCGGGGCTTCAAGTACTGTGCGCAATGAACTCATTTACGCTTTCTCCGCATTACTGATGTCAGTTAGAGAACAGGTAAAAAGCAGAAAACGGAAATTTCTGTATGCACTCTAGCTCATCAACCAACTGGATAAAGTGTACCATACCCTTTTAGATAACTAATTCATGGCGTCAAGATGTCGTTGCCCTTCTGAACCAAGTGCTTGGCGAAATAACGTTATGCAGTGGACAGCACGCAACTCGATAGAAGGGTGCGACACAGGGAAAAAGGGCAGCTGATGTCGGAAATATGTTTTGCAGTGCATCCATGATTGTAAGAAGGGCTTTCCTGAACCATCGGGCAACAGAATTGACAGTCTCATCATCCTGTTACGTATTGCTCAAATATTCCTAGTTCGTATTTGGCCAAGTAGCCCCAAACTCGGAGTGAAAAGTCCCAACCGGATGGCACACGCAGTATTGTATGCTGGCACGTTCATCGCAAGTGGAAGGCGTAAACAATAAAGCGAGCCCAACAGAACAAGAATAAAAGGCCAGTTGGTAGAGATCAATGTGAGAATGCTGTTTGATCAATGACATGATAGTGTGTGTGTGGTCGTTTGAGCAACGTTAGCACGTGCGGCCATAACGCCTGTGGGGGCAGTTTGGTGCGCGCACATGAGACAGCGGTTTCAAGGTGGGAAAGTGACCGAGGTGTACTATCCGGTAGGTCAGCATTTGGTCAAACTTAATCCAACCATGCGGCAGGGTTTACGGTTCTAGTCATCTGCATCGATCTTTGCGCGACATGCCCCTTAAACTGGGGATGCGCTTGGTAGCCACATGCTAAACCCTCTCCTGTTAATTACCTCGCCAGGGTGATTGGACAATAGGCGAGTAACTTGCACTCGAGCACCGATCTTATGATGGAATAAATGAGGCAAATGGCAATCTCTTCAGACTAAATGCAGAAGATGCTTTTGATTGCCCAGGGCATGCGCAGTCCGTTTCCATATAGCTTGTTTGTGTTGTCTACGGACATCAAATCGCAGTGTTAGAGCAGACCGATATCCTTCAAGAAAGGTGTGGAAGGTAGCGGTTGCGCGGCCGATGTGTACCTACACCCATCAGCACTCTTCCCCAGGCTAATGGATAATGATTTGACTTCATTGACCGGAAGACTAATGCCTGTAGACCACCTGGACAGGCGGTGAACGTCATACTGATTACAGCACAGTGGTCGGGAGCATCAGCTCATCTGCGAACATAGCATTAGGCTACCTAAGAAGTTGATACACTTCATTGATGTGGATCAGGAAGGAAATGGGATGCAGTACTGTTCCTTTGGGTATCCCACTGGTTTGGTGATCCCAGTCTGTTAGAAAGCAATCCACTTGTACCCTCCATTTCTGTCCAATCAGAAAGTCACTGATCCGCTTGTGCATTGACTTCAACATTATGCTATTTTTCATCGCCACATAAGCAACTGAAAAACATGTGAAGAAGACTAATAACGACTCAGGATCAATACTACGGCCGTTGTGTTGCGACATTATCTGATCTGATACTAAGGTGGGGGTTCGGGTTCAAATTTACTCGGTTTACCTGAGGGGTGAGGAATAAGTTTGATGTCAGTGGTTGGACTAAGTTAGTCTGAAGCCTCTGTTGATGGGAAGGTGATCAGAAAGGCTTGTAGCTATGAGGCAACAACTGCAAAAGTGGCAACTACAATGGGTTTCGGAAAAACGTACGAAATCTTCTAGAGGGCACTGGCGGAATGCCACGAAAAACCGTGAATTTGATGTGATTATTTAGTCGTAGTGGTTAGATGGACTTGAGGGGCGAATCAAACAGCTTAACGGCTGCCGTCTTTGGACGCAAAAGTTAGGATCGAGCGTTTATATTACTCCGCTGACTGGTTGGCATTTGGTGATGATATTACTGGTTCCGTAGTTGCTTGTCCAACTGAGCTAAAGAATAAATATCGACTCATAAACGTCGCTGTTAGTAAAAGTAGGTCACATTTACTGTCGTTTTGCCTACTCCTGCCTCTGCTTACTGAACCGCTACCCCATGAAGAACCGATATTGCTTCACTGCACAAATTGTTCTCCTATATTCTCCAGTCACCATGTTAAAACTGACTAGAGTTCTCTTGGCTGGAGAGTCGGTCTACTCGCATTCAAGTGGTCATTCCAACCTCTACTTACTAGAAGCCATTGATCCACTGTGGTATCAGCCTTGAGGGCATCCCACCCGTTGGTGTGAAAAGTCGTTTCGGGTTCAACTGCGCCTGATACACATTTGTATACTCCTCTGTAACAGGCACTCTTGATGCATTTTTGTTCCTCAAGCATTTACGTGCCAACACGATGTGATCATCAAAATAGACTAGTTTGTACTTCACCCAGACTCCACTATCCATATGTTAGTGGGTTTCATTTGAAGTATTTAGGCTGCAAGCGGTGCATTTAAATGCCACGAAAAACGCTTATCTTTTGCATCACCAAACTACCATCTACATCATAGTATTTGCTAAAAGCGACGTATAGCGTATGTAAGATATACTGATTTCTTGGGAAAATCGTACCTGCCAGACTCAAGTATGTCAAACTGATCATGCTGAGCACGTGGGGTGCTATTCCGTCGGAGAGTTTGCTACACCATCGCAGACTCAGATGTTCCAGCCTTGCCAGGGTAGACAGGTATCCGATCCCAAAATCCGTTAACGCCACACATCTAGGTAAAAAGAATGAAAATGGATTGTAAATCACATGGACATATTGGCGTCAATTTCCACGTTCCCTTTGCTTATCTACATCAATGACCAATAGTAACATTACAAGATAAAGCACCAAAAAGCGATCATGTGACGTCACTCTTCATTTACATACTCGATGTGGAATACCGCAGTCAAAACACGGAGGAAGTCCATGTTGGTACTCATTAAGACATCCTATCTGCATCCGTCCAGGCAACTAACTGGTATTTCTGGCAGAGCAACCTCACCACATGGCCTGGAGGGAATTAATCACCCAGTTCACCTAGCTAATGGCTAATGCATTTGAAGGCAAATTCGTTCTCCTGAATCAAACGAAGTCCTTTCAGTAAAGTCGGATTCAAAAATGCCTGGACATTAGCGATTCGGGCTGACACACTTAAAAATCCTGTCCGAACGAATACGACATGTATGCTTATATAGCTTAACGAACAACGAAGTTGGTCAGTGGAGAAAAGCTCTAGCACGAATAGTACTTTGTGAGTAAATATAAGGTTAATTCTAAGATGATACACATGCACAACAACAAGCTCCGTGGGGCACAGCGCAGAATCCCAGCTCTACGTGCAGTAGAAGGTCGGGTGCTAACTACACAAGATGCGACATACTTGCTTCGGCAACATTTGAACCGCACTTCCCAGAGTGAATCGCCATCTCACCCCCTTTTCCTGCAGCTGACACGGCCTCCAGAGTTGAGCTGGCAGCTTTCACAACACTGAATGCGATGAGAAGAGTACTGCATTTGCGTTTGCACAGCTGCCCTGGTGGATGGCATAAGACCGAAAGTGTTAAAAAGAACCGCTATGGACATCGAATCGTTAGCTTGGTCATTCCATTGATGAAACGCAGGTTCCCACAATATGGAAACGGAATTCTCAGCCTTCAGTACAAGAGTGTAAGTCGTGCGGAGCCCCCGAACTACCGTCCCATATGCCACTTCATGGTGATATCCAAATTTATGTAACATCGCAGCTGAGCTCATGGAATACTCCATAAGTGACAAGGATGTGTCACAGCGGCACAAGTTCCTCCGCAATAGGTTAGGTATTACTTGCTGTTAGCCCGAATAAGTTTGACGGCATGAGTCGATGCCAGAGTAGGGGTGCAAGTCGTCTACTTGGACTTATCAAAAGCGTTCCATCCCCTGTACCACCGCATTTTTCTCCATTAGCTTGGAAGATATGGAATCGGTGACCCTGTGTTGTGTAGGATAAACAACCTCCTCATTCTACGTCAGCGGAATGTGGGAGTCCGGAGCTCCATTTCCGACCCCACTGAAATCCAGTATGGCATACCCCAAGGACCGGTAATGGGACCACGTTTATTCCTAGTCTGTACCAAGGACCTTGGAGGTGTGTTCCAGTCCGACTTCTTGCTATTTGCGTCTGATCACACAATCTGGCATGACATCCAAACAGCAGACCATCATATGGCACTGCAGAGCGATCTCGACATGAAAGTTCGAATCTTCTCTCTGCGCAAACGCTGAGTGCCTACGTGAGTTCTCGTGTGGAATATGCCGTTCAAGCTTAGCGTGCCTGGCATATACACGACTTCATGTGCTTGAAGCTCCACGGTGTATGGTGATCAAAATCGTTACGGACTTAGTTCACATCCCCTAAAGACTCAGATTGCAAAGCCCTGGGATTATGTAGAGTTGAAAAGCAGCTTCTGCTAGGAGACCTCAGGACACCTCGTACTGGTGAATCCCAATCACACGTGTTGCCGTCTTTGGCTTCTCAACCACAATATCAACCTGTGAGACCACTAGCTCAAACTGCCCGTGAGCTACAGTCGACTTGATTTCCCACAAAATATTCCCCTCCAGCGTCCCGACAATGGAGCTGCCTTCGGATTCACACTAACGTTTGTCCCAACATTAATTCTGTTCATCAGACGCCTTAACAACATCATTTCTCATTTGTAATGCAGATGTAGTCCTTTCCATTCGACAAACACAATAACGCCATCCAAGCTGCGTGCTCGCCAGCCCTCTGTGTAAATTAGCAGTGAGGAAAGCTTCATCATTGTTCGTGTGAATAGCTTGGTGAGTCACCTAAAACCCGTTTTTCTCCTTTTTCCTGTCACTTTTAAGTTTTGTGTCATAATTCTTACTCCGGTCATCCTACAAGACTTGTAACAGTTGTCTAGCAATTATAAATCAGTACTCATTAGACACAAGGTACAATTCTCGCAGCTTCCGGGGATGGTTAGTTATTATTTTACATGCTTTTAGCTGGGTTAACCACCTCCCGTTCTGATGGCAATGCACTCTTTCCAGGAAGAACGTGCTCCTAATTAAGCTTCGATCATTTCAATCTCTGGGACGGTTTTCGATGTCAAGATATTTTGGCATCGCTCGTCACCAACACCACGCTCCATGGCCAAGGTGATTCTTGTTTGTTCTCCTCAGATCCGATCTGCGAATCAAAGCATTCAGGTCGTGCTAGACGACCGTACTGCCAAGCCGGTAGGATCTGCGAGTGACGATTGTTGCAGCTGCTACCGCACCATTCTCTTCGAGTAAGCTACATCATGTGTTTGAGCTGTGACTCGTAGTCCCAGTTGCGTTCGACTTCTGGCGGTCAAGGTGTAAAACCGACAAATTTACCGCCCCATTTCCAATTTCAGTGAAAACCAATCCAAGTCACTTAACACAGCTGCAGCCATTTCATAAATAAATAAATAAGTAAATATTTTATTCTCGAATTCATCTAGGCATACCAACTCAGGTGTGATCAAAATTCGTAACTTAAGTGCTCGGCTTGCCTTAATTTAGGACCCATCGTGTCCGTCACTCCTCTTATCTTTACTGCCAATCAAACAACATTTTGATGTCATCTAATAAATAAAAATTGACACGGTTTAATGCAGCCTAATCAGGAAGGCTAGAACACAGTACTACACTGGATGCTTCGTCCTGGTCGCAGCTCTTACGTTTAGCGCTGTTTCCGGAATCGATTACTTGTCATTTCCTGGTCCGCGTGGGGATCAGTAATGTGACTCCTTTAGTATATTTTACTGGAAAGTTAAAGATGAGAAATACCGAGTTATCTATGTTCCTTTTGCTAACTACAACTGTATACCTAGGAATTAATTCTGCGCACTTTATTGTTGTTGAAGGAACTCCACCTGCATCAATGATAATCGAAAGAGTTGAGCCTGGCTCGGCGCCGTAGAATGCAGAACAGCGTTATAACGTCGCGAAGGTGCACACGAAGGCAACTATTGTAGCATCACGCAGAGAGTAACGGGGCATCAGGAATTCCATTGTTGTTCATCGACAAATGAGTTACCTGAGTCGCCCTTTCTGACTGTAATGTGGTGTGCTAACATGTAGCATTGAGCGGTTTACTTAGAAAGCAACGGCACTCTCTAATTTTAGAAGTTCTTATTTGTGTTTGGGACAGAACTAATTCTTGTGTCACACATTACCATGTGAGTTGAAGGGGGATGGTTCAGCTTCCATTTACTAGTCACAGGTCATAAACCAGATCCCCGATCCTTGCTAGGGAGCAGCGGTCTGCAATATAGGTCTGCATCAAACTGCGTTAGCCACGGAAACCTGCACACTTGTTCCCTCTCTAAAAGAAATTGTTCTGATTGTTGTTCACTGATGCGAAGGTACGCTTTGTGCTTCGGAATGCAGTGTGGTCATGCAATAGATCGCCACTGCCTAGCCGATCAACATGCAACATGCGTTTTTGATCTGTGAACAATCTAACTGACATGATAACCTGAACTCCAACAACCTAACCAGCATATGACCGCCACACTCGCACCCAACTTAACAGAATAAAGGTTCGACGCAAAGGACACAGGGCCTTGGAGCCGAAGTAGCCCAACCGCCGGCAGTTAGTGGGTAGACGACGACACGTGGCGCCTCTCATTAGCAACGGATCGGAGGCTGGTACCAAAGTGTCAATAACAAATCGATCGATCCATCTGCAAACTATCCACGGTAACGTTTCTTCCTTTTAAGTGACGCGTAGGTGGGATGTTAACCAGTAGACCAACAGTAACTCGAGACCGCTGATGAGTCATCAAGCCTGCTTTCGTTTCGTTTTTATCCATCTACCCCGGTGTACCCTAAAATTTGCATTTGGAAATCTATATGTGCACTGCCTTAAGCCCATTGCTTTTTGTCGGGTCAGCCTCCGTCATGTTTTTGTATCAGCTGACTATTAGACATCGTTACCGCAGTTCTCAACTCATGTCTCCGTCCGAGTAATTGCTGTTTTGCCTCCCTGTTGATGTACAGTAATCATCCATAGATGGACCTACGGGGATGGCCATTTTGACCCTGCCGTGCCACAGAGACCGCACAATCATCAAACACACATCAAACACATGTCACAAATATAGACTACTAACAGACCCTGGTAACTGAATCCATGCTTAGCTTTGCGAGGGTACATGAGCTGCTCCCTATCCTCTAGTTATAAGTGGAATTGTTAGCACTCGTTTCCTAATTCAACAATTGCTCACGGCATACGTCAAAATTCATTTGGTTAGCGTTCGCACAGAGACGTTCGTTACGGGATCTAACGTCCCGTTGGAAACATCCTAGCTGCCTTCTGTTTGGTACTAATTAGTTCCAGTACCTTAGGAGCTAGACCATGTTGTAACTGGTAAAATTACTATGCAATTCTCAAGTTGGATATCGGGATCTCATTCTGGACAACAACATCTGACCTCTGTCCCATCTGCTAAAGTACGGTCTACCAAGTATTGTGCCTTAACCTTGTGTTTTCTTATTCGATGACCCTGTGCTTGACAACTTTCTTATTCGAACTCACCTAAATGTGTGGGTTGGCGTCACTCTATCCGACTTAATCGTAGTCCACTTTGACATATCTCAGGGCTCGGTACTCGGGTTCCGCCAGTTCCTGATCTTCCTACATGGTCTTGTGAGAGTGTCAACTTCAAATTGTCTGCTATTCACAGATGATCTAAATAT